ACCCCACCCCACCCCACCCCACCCCAGCAGTGCCCCCAGTGCCCTGTGTCACAAGTGTCACCCTTGCCTCTTTCTCCAACATTGTTTTATTTGCTGCTGCTTTAAAAGAACCAGCCCCATCAGAGCCGGAGATGAGTCGCTGCAAATAGAAGGACCAGGCCCAGCCACTCCCCTGTCCAGCCCCTCACTCTCCTGCATTATTTCTAACCCCCCGCCCCCCAGACACCCGCCTGTTCCTCCTTCCCCAGGGGAGGTTCCTGGCTGCGTGACCAGCCTGTGCTGGAATAGCCTGCAGAGCGGGAAGGGAAATGGGGCAACCCCTGGATACCACCATCTAGCCCGCCGTGGTCATTGCCTCCTGGGCCGGCACTAAAGTGCAAATGTCACAAAGTGGATGAGTTCCGGCCCCTTTGCCAGGCCGTGAGGCTCCACCGGGCCCCCGGCACCTCAAGCGTGCAAACAAACACACACCCCGAGGTCAGGCGGCGTTAACTCCATTACACCGCCAGGGACCCCCGAGCCGCCAAGCGGGGATGGGACTTGGCACACGCTCGGCAGGAGTTTGGGCGTAATCCTTCGTTCCCGCTTCCCGCCTAGAGTCAGGAACAGAACCTGAGTCCCGGTTCCCCATCATAAACACGAGGCTGGGGGTGAGACGTCCTTCTTAGCACCAGCTCCCTGGCCGCTCCCCCGTGCTGTAGCAGCGACTGTTCCAAACCCCGGTGCAGAGTCAGGACTGGCCAGGCCGAGTAGTTAAAGGCCAGAATTTCAAGCTCCCAGAGGGTCAAACCCCCAGCAGACAAAGCTTCTTCGATGCACCCAGCTGGGAGCTGCGCCTCTGTGAAATCTGGCCCTACCCTGTGCAGCTTAAAGCCCATTTCAGCGGTCCCGGCTGGCCCAGGCTGAATTTCTGATGCTCAGGCTCTGGGTGTGGTGCTGGCCCAGATGGGACACTGGGGTTCGGACGCTGCTCGGAGTAGAAATGCCTGTGTGATGACCGACAGCCGGGGGACCGAACCGGGGACCCCTGGAGCTCAGAGCAGGAGCAGCCACTGCTCAAGCCCTGAGTCATCCTCTGCAGGCGAGGTCCGCCCAGCTGTGGCACCGGATCAGTTTAACCGCAAGCACTTGCTGCTCGGGGAGGGGGAAATTCCTGCTGCCTTTGCCAGGAGCCTGGGCATGAAACCTCAGGGCAAACCCCGCCGGCAGGCACTGCGGAAACGCTGCACCGAGCTGGCCCCCAGGCTGCAGCAGAAGGGCCAGGAGGGAGAAGCAAAGTTGTAACCCAGGAGACACCTCCCCATGCCACGACCGCGGAGGCTCAGCCCAAATTAACAGCCGCCCTCCACCCAATTTCTCTCTCACACACACACACACACACACACCTCCCCCCCCCCCAGAGGCCAACAGCTGGGCTGGGGGAAAGGGGAGCTCGGGGTCCCTGGGCCCCGTGGTGAGGAGATGGGGCTGCGAGCCCCGGGCAGCTCAAGGTGACAGTTCACAGCTGGGCCGTTGCTGATTCTAACACCTCCCACGGATGAGATCAAGATGGGACCCAGGCAAGGCTCTGAGCGCTACGTCTCCCTAGCCGAGGGACTGCCACCACCAGCTCCCAGTGCTACCTGAGCCCAGCGCCCGGTGCAAACCCAGCGTAACGCTGACAGACCCCGGTCGGCGGCGGGTGGGATCGAACCTGGGACCTCTGAAGCTTAGTGCTGGAGCCTCTACTGCATGAGCTAAAAGCCAGCTGGCTGTTTGCTAAAGCTGTAGCAGACTCATTAACCTCTAGGCGGTCTTGGTGCCACTAGACGGGACAGAGCACCATGCCCAGGAGGTGTGTGGGTTACACCAGTGCCCAGCACACCCTGAGCCCACGATGCCCCTGTCCCAGCGCCTGGCGCAAACGCAGCCTGCAACGTCCCAGTGCCCATCGTAACCCGAGCCAGCGACACCCCTCGTCCCAGCACAAACCCAACCTGCGACGCCCACATACCAAACTGCCCTCCTCCCTTGCTTCCAGCCCTGCTCATGCACGTCCCACTGTCCTGTGCCCTGCCCAGGGGACCCTGTGTGGCGAGGGCAGCCCAGTCCCAGGGCCCGTTAGCTCCTGGGCTCCCAGCTGGGGCTGCCCACCAGTGGGGTGCTGTTAGGCACGGCCATGATGTTCTGCAAGTAGATGCACTGCCTAAGCGCCGTCTGGGAGCGGCTCTGCCCCTCGGCGCTGTCGGTGTGAAAGCCCCAGGCCTTGCGCAGATTGTCCATCACCACCATGCGCTGGAAGGTCTCGGTGGCGAAGTAATAGGCCAGCGGGTCCAGGGCGGCGTTGGCGGAGGCCACCAGCAAGGTGCAGCGGTAGGAAAACTCCAGCATCTCACCCCGCAGGGCTTCCACCTGGTAGCAGATCAGCACCAGGTGGAAAGGCAGGAAGCAGCCCAGGAAGATGGTGACGTTGGCCACGATCATGCTGCGGATCTTGGCGCTGTTCACCAGCTCCATCTGGGCGGCCGCGCTGCGGCGGATGGCTCGGAGCAGGGCCCAGGAGCAGACCACCATGACCAGCAGCGGCAGGACGAAGCACAGCGCCATGGCCGAGGACACGCTGGGCTGGGTGACGTACTTGGGCTTGTTGTCAAAGCAGTGTTCCATCCGTTCTCCCTTAGCCTGGGTGAAATAGGTGGGCACGGTGCCGGCACAGCTCAGCAGCCAGACGCCCAGGCAGATATACTTGGCCTGTTTGCGCAGCGCCTTGACCCGGGGGTGCATGGGGAAGCAGACGGCCATGCAGCGGTCCCAGCTGATGCAGGTCAGCAGGAAGATGCTCCCGTACATGTTGACCAGCAGCAGCAGCCCCGTGATCTCGCAGACCTGGTCCCCCAGGCAGGGCCGCCGGCTATAGTAATAGATCCGGACGGGCAGGGACACCACCAGCAGCAGGTCGGAGACGGCCAGGTTCTTCATGTAGACGGTGGTGAGGGAGCGGATGCTGCTGCAGCGGAAGAAGATGTAGAGCGCGGCCAGGTTGAGCACCAGCCCCAGCGTGAAGATGAGGGTGTAGAGCCCCACAAAGACCGGGTCCGTCAAGCTGCTGCTGTTGTTGCAGTTGGAGGTCATCTTGTTGTGAAGCTCCAGATCATGTGAGGGACAAGCTCGGGCAGTATCTGTCCCGCCGAGCACCGGCTGCTGCCCCCCACGTGGCTCCGTGACCCACGATCTCTCCAAGCGCCGCCCGTCCTCAACCTAGGAGAAAGCAGGGAACAGGTGAGTTTGTCCCACTGGCCCAGGATGAAATAGATTTGTGGGACCCTTCTGGGCTCCCGCATCGCCCCAGCACCGGGCTCCTGAATACAACCCAGATCTGAGGAGCTGTAAGAAAGAAATGCCTAATTTCCACATGCTGGAGAATCCGCCCCCAGCCCTGACTCAGTTGGTCCCTGTCTGATCATGGCACGCGTGTGCAGGGGCACACACTTGTTAAATAAAAAACATAAAATACTCTTGCTGGACGGTTGCAAAGTAACATGAGTTTACTTCTTAGAATCCAGAGCCCCGGCACACACACACCCAAACAGAGAGAGACAAAGCAGGCTGCGCCATAAGGTAGAAAGGCCCAACTCACCCCATTTTTGCGGTAGGCCATCTGCAGACTGGCCAATGCTAGACACAGATCACCTGCTTCCCTACAGAGCCCCCAGCCTGCAAGTAGGACCAGGAAAACCCCTGAGTCAGCAGTGTGCCCTTGTTGCCAAGGCGGCCAACAGCATATTGGTCTGTATAAGTAGGGGCATTGCCAGCAGATCGAGGGACGTGATCGTTCCCCTCTATTCGGCACTGGTGAGGCCTCAGCTGGAGTACTGAGTCCAGTTTTGGTCCCCCGGCTACAGAAGGGATGTGGACAAATTGGAAAGAGTCCAGTGGAGGGCAACAAAAATTATCAGGGCGCTGGAGCACATGACTTCTGAGGAGAGGCTGAGGGGACTGGGCTTGTTTAGGCTGCAGGAGAGAAGAATGG